TGAGTGTCAGGATGGAAATACATGCTCTGGAAAAAAAAAAAAACAGTCTGTGTGAAGATTAACTTAATTTGGATTGTTTAGTGTCAGTCAGCGTCCCTCACAAAGCAGCACTTCCCATCAAATGGGATTTGGGATGTTCATTCCATAGAACACGCCAAGGCTCTGCTTTTCAGCGTTCCTGCCGAATTTGGGTATTTGTCCGTGTGAACATGTGCTGGATTGATGCAGGTTAATGAAGCACCGGTTGTTACGTGAGCTTTCAGAAAACAGTTGTCTCTCGTGGACCCGACCTGTGGGAATACCGCAGCGGGTATGGAAGGTGTCCGTGTGTGCAGTTAGTCGTGGTGCTTAGAGGGAGAGTCGCTTTTTATGCTCTGCCACACTTGTCCCCACGTCACATCTCCTGTCTCTGCTGGTATTCCGGAATACCTGTTCCTCCTGGCTCAGCAGTAAGGTCTGGAGTGGTCAGTTAAGAGGGAAACGTTCAGAAGAAATCCGAAATTCCCGTAGCAGCTCGAATTCGCTGTGCAGGCTGTGAGGTACTTACTCGGGATGGTTGTCCCATTTGGTGAATTCAGTGCACGTTCCTCATCTTCCTCCCAGTAGCTACCACATGCCGTCATGGGAATAGCAAGGAACAAGGAGTTTTCCTTCACAAAGCCAAGGAAATTCCGAAGGCCACGTTGAGGTTTCTGTACAATTCTTGAACTTGTTTATCTGTTGCTCTCGCGGTGTTGTTTGGAGCGCGGATTGACAGTCTGGATATTGGGCTGGAAATGTGCTGCTTCCTTTCGCAGTCCTCTCGCTCTGCTCCTGAAGTTCTCCGTCCCTGCGTTTGGGAAGCTCTCCTGAGATGTGCAGTTAGCGAGTAGAAAACACTTGGACAAAATCCATGGGCTGCTGCAGATCCAGCTGGGAGCGGAGCAGCGAGAACGTCCCGAGGAGGCCAGGCGGAACGTGTGCCAGCCCTGCCTGGGGTATCCAGCCTCTCGTAGCTTTACGTGTCGTTCCAATTGGCAGCAGGATCTCAGAGCTCTGCCTGAAAGATATTTTGGGAAAAGAAAGCTTTTTAGAAATCACACCGCGTTCCACAGGCCGTGCTGTTTAGATCTTCACTTTGGTGGGAACACAGTCCTTTTGTCCCATTTGACATGGCAGCTCGTGGTGCGGATGCCCAGGGGGTGCAAGAGGGTTTCCTCCTCTCCGCCCAGAGTCGTGAGGAACTGGGATCTGCAAACTGGGTTTTGTGCAACGGGAGTTCAGATTGCTGCTGAATCTCCTAAACCTGATTCAGCTGGAGCTCAGAGCAGGAGCGTGGCGTGTGTTTTGTTAGGTTGGTGTGCTTGGGCAGAGCTGGCTTTTGTGGGAAATCCCGATAAAAGGGTGCTGCCAGAAGAAAAATAACAACATGGATGTGCGTGAGCAGTCGTGCTGGAAATAGCTAAAGCAAGCCTGGTTGTCTGCAGTTTCCCCGGAAAACCAGATGCGTGAGTTCAAGCTGAGGGAGGCACTGGGACAGGTTTGCTCAGAGAAGCTGTGGCTGCCCCATCTCTGGAAGTGTTCCAGGCCAGGTTGGATGAGGCTTTGGGCAACCTGGTGTAGTGGAGGGTGTCCCTGCCCATGGCAGGGTGGCTGGAACTAGATGGTCTTTGAGGTCCCTTCCAACCCAACCCATTCCATGATTCCATGATTCTAAGGCACTGACGAGGGATTGCAGGACCCTTCCACAGAGGGTGACCACGTTACAGAAAGAGGAGGGTGGGCTGAAGGGCTGAGTGCTTCATGACATTTTTATAAGTGATTTGAAAGGAGCTGAAACTCACCTTCAAAACCTGAGCAGGCACATCCTGGCAGGTGTCCCCTCACACCCTGGTGGCCTCTGGTTGCCTGAGCATTAGTTGAGGCATAATGCAGATTCATGGAATCATAGAATCATGGAATGGTTTGGGCTGGAAGGGACCTCAAAGATCATCTAGTTCCAAT